TTATTTCATTACTTTTCTGTGCGTGTAGTGTCAAATCAGATCTGACTGGTACAGGAGGAGATTGTCCCTCCTTCCCCGGCAGAGCATCTGGTGGATTTGAACCGTGCACCTCTGGGATTGTAGTTGCAGCTCCTTACCACTAGGCCACCAGAGCCCCCCTAATTACAAAGTTTTAAAAAATTTCAGCTTAGGAGGAAAAAAAAATGCCTGGATTTCTGTAGAAATCACTAGAATGGGCCAATTAATTGTTTATTAAGGGTGGGACATAACACCTTATGCCTGTTACAGCCCTGATCCAATGTTGTTGTTGCTGTTGATTGCCTTGAGTCGAAAGACTCATAGCTCATAGTGATGCTATGAACAAAAGGCTTGAAGCTCTGACATTTATCAAAGTTCATTAAGTTTCCAGAGGCATTTTATTTAGGAAGAGGATGCCACTCCTGCTTCCGAGATCCAATGTAACAAGAGATAAAAGGAGAAAGAGATAATTAGAGAAATGTGCTGTTAAGTTGCCTGCAACTCATAGTGACCGTATGTACAACTAACGAAACCTTGCTCCATGCTGTGCCAATCTTACTGTCTCTGACACACCTAACCACATTACCCCAGTCACTGAGTCAATGCATCTAATTAGAGAAAAGAGGAAGAAAATAGAATTGGGAGTGGAGGATTCTTTGAGTGACAAAACTCCTCAAAAAGTAAATAAATACACAAATAAACCTCAAACTCACTGCCATGGTATTGGATGGTCACTGACCCTCCAGTGCTTTTCAGAGGTTGTAAACCATGTGGGAAGCCTTCGACTTCCTGCCCTTCTCCCTGGGAGCTGCTGGTGTATTCTAACCTTTGGGTTAGCTGCTCAGTTCCTTTAAGATTATGCCACCCTGATGAGCCTTCAAAAGATGGAGGGCAAGATACATATATTTGCAAGGAATATAAAAGGAATACTGGGCCTATAGATGGTGAAAGGAGACAGGCAACTTCCTCCAGAACCAAAAGAGAAAGCATTCCCCTGGAGATGCAAGAATGAATTTTAAATCCTAGCTTCCTAAAAGGGTTGAGAAACTTCTCGTTGGGAAAGTCATCCATTATATTTGTTACAGTGGCAACAGACAGATAGTCAAGAAACATACCAAAACTAGACGGGAAGTAAAAAGAAGGCAATGGAAATGTGCTACTCTATTTTCAATGTTCTCCCCTCTCCTTATACACACGTTTTAAAAATATCATCTTTATTTTACTCATATTAGATCAAGATTTAAATGTATTTTCTTTTCACTTAGCCCAGGGATTTGAGACTATTATAGAACAGAGTTAGGAGTTTGAGTACTGTTAAATGTTTGAGTTTAATTCTGTGGGAAGAGCAAGGTAAAACACAATTTGATTTCCTTAAAAGAAAGATAAAAAAGTGGAGAGGAGAAGCATTAAGGGTCGTACTCAATAAAGGAGTTAGAGTAACATCATTTTAAAGATTCCCAATACTAAAATGCAAAAGAAAAGATTAAATAAATTAGTGCTCAGTCTCAATGATTAATTAGAAGAGACTACAAGATTTGTCCTCTGGGCTGCCAAAACCAATAGTGCAAGCAGTGCAGAACAGTGTCACAAAGTAGCATCTGTCGAAAAAAGGACTGCACCTATTTGTAATCAAGCACTACTAATGTACTGACAACAAACCTCCAGAACAGTGGCTGCAATATAACACTGGCAATTACTAACCAAAATGGAGTTATGCACCAACAGCCTCTCAGAGAACTGATGGCAATCTGCGTTTTCCAGGCATTCGTCTGGGTTTATCACAGCTTCGAAAATTCTGCTCCAAACAGAAGCATTTTAAATTTCTAGAGCTAAAGGAAATTAAAAGGTCGGGATAACAGCGTTCTCAGTCTCAGGAAAGCATCCAGACCTAGGACCCTCGGACCAAGGACACCTCGCGGACTGGTGGCTCCGCTTGTCCCAGCGCTCCCCCTACCTCGCGGTTCTCCAGTCGGAGACTCACCAGCAAGGACCGCGGTCTACCACGACCCCGCCGGCGAAGGACGCTGGACAAGATGCCTCTGACTCGCAACCACCAGCGGGGCAGCAAGTCACCTGAACCAGCTAACCAACGGAGCCCCAGATGCGTCCCGCAGAATCTGAAGAACACTTGACTTCCGCTTCCGGCAGAAAAGAAAAGAGGCGGGCCGAGTAAGTGTCGCGATATCTAGGGCTCACCCTGTGGCTTTTGGGAGCTGATGCGAAAATCAGGGCTGGAGTCAGTATGGCCAAGTGGCAAACTGAAGGTTGATTACATCCACTCCGGGCTTTCCGCCGAACCGGAGACAGGCCGGAACTGGCACTGGCTATGTCACGTGACCTTGTCAAGACGGAAGTGCTGGGAAAGATACAAAGAAAGGAGAGAGCGTGGGCTTCTGGTAAAGCGTTCCCTGGAGATTTTGAATGAAGAGCGGGAGAAACGAGAACAGGTAGCGAAGAGTGACAGTCCTGTTTGGATGGCTTCATTTTTCTCTTTGGAGAAGTTCTGGTAAGACTTTGTAAGATACTTGCCAGTAAGGAAACATGACAATTATTTGCCATATTCTAGAATTTACCGGGTAGTAACACACTTTATTGGGTATTATGGTTTGTTAATTCAGCTCCATTGTTGAATCATTGAAAAGGGTCATTAATTTGAACATTTTTTAAAAAAATAACTGGCCTTATCACAGCCGGCGTCTAGGCAGCGGAAGCACGGCACCAGCTCTCCATGTGGTACTGCTAGCGGAGCTCTGCAGTACTGAGCTGGGACTGAGGTGAAATTTTTTTTCCTTCTTAAGCGAGCTTGTTTATTTTTAGGTTGATGAAAAGGATTTGAACTGATGCAGCCCTCGACATGCGCACCAGGCTCTGCCAAGAAACTGAAGAATAACTGACTAGAAGAGATCCATATTTATTCCCATTCCAAAAAAAGATAAAGAGTAGCAATGGCTGCTGTTTATTCTGGCATTTCCCTTAAGCTTAAAAGTAAGACAACTTCTTGGGAAGATAAGTTAAAACTTGCTCACTTTGCCTGGATTTCCCACCAGTGCTTACTTCCTAATAAAGAGCAAGTATTACTTGATTGGGCAAGACAGTGTTTGGTTGCATTTTACAAGGGAAAACTTGAACTGAAAGAAGACATCGTTGAAAGACTGTGGATTTATATAAATGACATTCTTCATAGCAGAAAGTTGTTCACTCTCCTTAAGAATGGAAAGACGATCAACCTTCAGATTTCACTAGTCAAGATTATAAATGAAAGAATAGCTGACTTCTCCTGTTTGGGATCCCAGAAAAACATCTGTGCTGTCCTGAGCTGCTGCCAAGGCATCCTCTCGACCCCTGCCCTTGCTGTCATTTATGTGGCCAAGCAGGAGCTGATGGTAACACTCCTGAGCCAGCTTTGCCAGCTGACCTCCAAGCACAAGGAAGGAGTTGTGGTAACCCAGTTGTTTGAGGTCCTCCACCTGGCCTTTGGACATTACCTCACAATCCAGCAGAGGCAGGTCAACCCAAAGCGTGCCTTTGGGGAGTTAATAGGGCACCTCTTCCAGCCCTGCCTAGTCCTGCGGCATTTGCTCTCAGTGGGTCAGTGGAACCAAGCCAGTAATGGACAGTTGCTGCAGGCCCTGAACCGGGACATTAGGAATCAGATAGAAACTGTACTTCAAGGTGGAGCTTTTCAGCCTGAACTGCTTTCTTTCTACAAAGAAGAGCTCTTAGAACAGCAGCAAGGCAGTGCAAAGGTGGGGACTAGTAAAAGTCTTCTGATGCCCCTCCATAGTATGATCACCAAGCTGGTAGACACTGGTTGCTGTGAGCCATCCCTTCAGGCAGCTATTGTGGCCAGCTCAGCGGCCTTGCTTCATAAGCTCTTTTTAGAGTCATACTGTAAGGAGGGGAATCAACTGCTCTGTTTCCAGGTGCTCCCCAGGCTGTTTGGATGTTTGAGAATCTCATGTCAGCTTGAGGAGAAGATGCAGGCACTGTCCACATCAGACTGGACCACAGAACTGTTGGTTGTGGAACAGTTTCTAAATGCAGTGATCAGCAACAACATCTACAACATTGCTGCTGACAGGATTCGGCATGGGGAGGTTCAGTTCCATTTTTACCGCCGTTTGGCTGAGTTACTGATAAATCACCCACAACCTTCTGTGCCAGCCTGGTTCCGTTGTCTCAAGATTTTGATCTCTCTGAACCATTTGATTTTGGAGCCAGACCTGGATGATCTGGTGGCTTCTGCTTGGGTTGATGCAGAGGTAACAGAATTTCGAGTAAAAAAAGCCCAGGAGGTACTTATTGACACTCTGTTCCAGACATATGGCAGGCTCCACCAGGTGCCACGGCTGTGTGCAAATGTCTTGGGTGTGCTCTGCCGCCCAACTGCTGTGACACCGGGGTCACCAGTTCTGTCTGCAGGTGTCTCTGCTGCACTCTCTGAGTGCCTTCTTAAGTTGTCCCCAAACCAGATCTTGGACACATGGTCCCTTGTGCTGGAGAAGTTCCAGACTCTGGTCTTGCCCTCTTTGCTGGGTGACACTGACATGGCCCTGAAATCTCTGTCACTAAGCTCAGTGCTGCACTGTGTCATGTTTAACATGAGAAGCCTAGACAGCAGCACCCCACTACCTGTTGTCAAGCGGGCTCAGTGCATGATGGAGACCACACTCTGTGAGCTCGTGCAGCCCTTGTTCCACCTCCTCACTGATCTCCCAGGCCTTACACTTGGCCTGTGGCAGCAGAAGGTCAGTGATTCTGCACTCCTGCTTGCATGCACATGGGCCCAGGTGGACATTATGCTCAGTTTAAACTGTAGCCAGTATCACTCTGCATCTGGACCTGTTACTTCTCTGAAGAACTCAGACCTCCCTTCACTGCTCCCAGGTATGGAAACCAAACATTGGGAAAAGCTAGAGAAGTTTATCATTTCATTTGATTCTCTTGGCAAGTATTGCCTAGAACAGCTCTATCTACAGAAAATGAAAAGAACTTTAATGCAAGCTAGTTTCCAGTCTGAAGAAACCCTCCAGACCTTGAGATATGATGCTGCCTATATTCTTCGTTCTGGCAAGAAGCACTTGAGTCAAAGGACATCAGCTTCCTGGGACTGCCACATAGGGACAGTGAATGCTTACACTTACCCTGTAGCACACTGGCATTTGATTGCCTCCAATCTTACAATCCTGATACCTTACCTTGATGCAGATGATGTGAGAGACCTGGCTCATGTTCTGCTAAGGAATTTACCAACGGGCAGAACCCAGGAAAGCTCAGCAGAGGAAGAACACTGTATCACCCTTGAGAAGCTCTCCATGGCCGTCCTTCACAGTCCTATTTTCCCAGAATTACAGTCCTTTCACTCTGCATTCTTAATGTGCACAATTGAAAGATGTACTGACATTCTCCTTTCTGGTGTCCAGACTGATGCTGGTTCTATCAGGCAGCAGCTGCACTGGCTTTTTGAAAAGGACCACACAGCTGTGGCTTACTGGGGAAAAAGACTTGCGAATGTTGGACCTGATGATACAGAGCCAAGAGGAGAAGTTGCTCAGAATTTATTATCGCTAGTCAATAATAGTTTCCCCATTGAGTTAGACGGAGGACAATTAGAGAGCATCCTGGAACTTTTGGAAGTGATTTCTGCCCTACAATTGGACAGTCTCTTGGCTCCCTGTCATGTGCACTGCTTTCTTCTGTTACTGTCCATGGCCATTGCCAGGCTGGGGAGCACTTCCTCTTCACTGACGCTCAAATTTTTGATGACCTGCTACAAGCTTCTTGATTACTTGCAGAGAGGAAAAAGTGCCTACTCAGTGTTCAAGATAATGTATGCCAGTGATATTTTTCAGATCATCCTGACCTCCTTGTTCAAAGCCATTGATCAGTTGGTTATTGATAGAGATGAGCCCTCTTGGTTGGAATTTCTGCAGGTGGTGGGGACATTTTTAGAACATCTAATGCAAATGCTCATCCAGATAAAGCTAAGTCTGGTACTCAATTTTGGGAAAATCATCACATTCCTCACAAGCTGTAAACTGCATGCTGAGGCTTCTAGCAAACAGCTGAAACGACAGAAGATTCTGAGCAGACAGGTCCTGCTTTTGTCACTAACTAAGCTGTGCCATGTCTTGGGACCTTTTGTTGAAGAACAGAAGCAGCAACGTGAGCCCCTAGAGATGCTGCCTGAGCTTTTGCAGCAAGCCATTCTGCAGACAGGGGCTGTGCTACAGCTCTCCCCAGATCCTGGGGCCACTGGCTGGCATCTTTCCTCATCCTTCCTCTCGTCAGTCACCACACTCCTTGAAGCAGATGTGACCCAGCACTCTGGGGACAAACAGGCAGAGATTTCCAAGCTGATGGACAACATGCCGTTCTCCCATTCTGTCCTGTACCAGGCTGTTTATTCCCAGATACTGTCAGAGTTGTCCACTCTCACAGGAAATACTCCCTCTTTTCAAGCAGCCTTACGATTTTTAACTGTCTTCTTTTTGGCCCCAGAGCTCCATCCCAAGGACTCCATTTTTACCTCCACATTTCATTCTGTAAGACAACTTCTTACAGATCCTGAAGTTCCTGTTGAGGTTGTTCAGGACATGGAACCTCACTTGAGAGACTTGCTTACTCAAATGATAGAGGTTGGGACGACGGAAGACTTTCGGATGATGATGCGGTATATTCTTCAGGGACTGGATGTTAGTCATATGTGGAAAACAGATGTGCAGACTGTCTTGTCATCTATTACGTTACTCAGATTGCTACTGAACTGCCCATTAAGTGATGAGAAATCACATCTCTTCTGGCTTGCATGCCCCCAGGTGGTCATGGCTCTCAATCTGCAGAACAGAGAGGCTTGTCAGGAACATTCTTTGCTCCTCACGGTTGTTGGGCCTATTTTAGATGTCCTGGCTCTGCTGCTGCGGCAGGGGAATGAGGTGTTTCACAGCCCTCACCACATCAGTCTCGTCTTCAGCACTCTCTTGACAGTGCCACTGGACCACCTGAAGCCTCTCGAGTTTGGCAGCCTTGTCCCAAGGATTCAAAGCGTGCTTTTTGCAATCCTGCAGTATCACCCAAAAGTAATGCTGAAGACTATCCCTTCTTTCTTGAACTCTTTTAATAGATTGGTGTTTTCAGTCATGTGCAAAGGGCGACAGAAAGACAAAGGAAGCACAGATGATCTGACCATGATCCTGGAGTGTGCACGCCTGGTCAAAAGAATGTACAGCCATATCACAGCCAGAGCAGAGGAATTCACTGTGTTTTCTCCCTTTATGGTGTCTCAGTATGTGACAGAGGTGCAGAAGGTAATACTGTATCCAGTTGTAAAGGATATTCTGCAAGAGGGTATTTATCTTATCCTGGACCTCTGTCTTGAACGAGACATCCAATTCTTAAGGAGTTCATTGCATCCAGGAGCAAGAGATGTTTTTAAAGAGCTATATAATGATTATCTGAAGTATCACAAAGCTAAGCATGAGGGAGAAAAAAGATACACTGTCTGATGCTGCTTTTTTTAATACTTACATTTTGTAATGTTGAAACAAATGAGACATCCTGTAGGGATTATAGAATGCATTTTACAGTCACTTTAAAAATTGAGGGGTTTTGGCAATTGGACAATTAAAACACATTCGGGGGGGAAGAAGAACAAACTGGGGAGGAGGGTAGAGAAAACGGTGCAACAATGAATGAATGAGAACCTAAAATCTCTGTAAATGTTTATTAAAACTAATAAAATTTAATAATAATTTAAAAAAATAAATTGAGGGTTTTTAATGTCTTTGTAAAGTAAATACCACAATAAAGTCATGAAAAATTGGAAAAAATATAAAAACTCACACTCTGGAAGTTGAATTTATTTCTCAAGTTCACAAAGCAAGTTGGTTGTGGAATTAGAAGTATAACCATCAGATATCTTCATTGATTTTTCAGGTATATTTTCATAGCTTACTTGTGCAGTTAACTATACAAAGGCATTTGCCAGTGTGGATCATAAGAAACTATGGCTAACATTGAGAAGGATGGAAATCTTAGAACACTTAATTGTGTGCATGTGAAACTTATACTCGTTGTTGTTAAGTGTCGTCGAGTCACAGGCGACTCATAGCAACCCTATGAAGGAGAATTCTCAACGCTTGGATGCCTTTCATCCTCTCTCCAGGTTCATAGGGTTTCTGGAGGCAAGCTATTACAGAAGTAGATGCCACTCCTGCTTCCAAACTTGTTTTAATCTGGGAGCTCCACCCCACTCTGTCCACATTGGGTAGCCAGCCATTAACACATTTGACACATCAGTGTCACAGTGTTCAGCTTCACAGCAACCACAAGTTACCACTGTACAGCAACTTGTACACCAGGGCTATACAACCTAGAGGAATGTCTGAACAAAACCAATGAAAGACAGGCCCGAGGGCCGCGGATTAAAAGTCATCCACCTTTGGCTTGGTAGCATCACTTTCTGTTCACTGGGTCAGCTGATCTCTCTCTCTCTATGTTGATGTTACTGTTGTTAAGTGCTGTCGAGTCACAGGTGACTTATAGCGACCCTATGAAGGAGAGTCCTCAATGCTTGAGTGTCTTTCATCCTCTCTCCAGGTTCATAGGGTTTCTGGAGGCAAACTTTTATGGAAGTGGATGCCACTCCTCCTTCCAAGCTTGTTTGAATCGGGGAACTCCACCCCCACTGTCTGTCCGCATTGAGTAACCAACCATTAACGCATTTCACACAGGTTTGAGGGCTCAGGGCACTTGTGTTCTTTTGGCCCCACTGGAGGTCTGCAGAGCGGACTTGCCTGGTGAACTGGGGATCTGGGGGAAGGAGTTTGCCAGCATTTGGGCGTGCCAGGTTGCTAAGACACTGAAAGGTCGCGCCCCGCCTAGGGTCTTGGGAGATTTAATGTCAGCTGAATCCAGACTCTGGCTTCTTGAGGCACGACAGGTTAGAGGGCTCAGGGCACTTGTGGTGAAACTTATACATGTTGTTGTTGTTAGGTGCCATCGAGTCACTTGCAGCTCGTAGCAACTATGTACAAGAACCCTAAATGTTGTTCTATCCTGTGCCAACCTTGCCGTCTCAGACATACTCATTCCCACCACTCCACTCACAGAATCGATCCATCTCATCGAGGGTCTTCCTCTCCTGCGCCATCCCTCCACCCTCCCAAGCATGATGTACGTCTCCAACAACTGGTCCATCCTTGCAACATGTCCAAAGTATGTCAGACGAAGCTTCAGAATCCTTGCCTCCAAGGAGCAGGCTGGTTGAACCTTCTCCAGGATGAATCTGTTTGTTTTCTTAGCAGTCCATTGTATACATAATACTCTTCTACAGCACCATAGCGCAAAGGCATCAATTCTCCTATCCTCCCTAGTCATTGTCCAAGTCTGACATATAACAAGTGATTGCAAAGACCATGGCCTTTATCAGATGCTACCAATTGGTCCAGTGGTGAGAATCTTTGTATTCTTGATATTGAGCCTCAATCCATATTGAAGGCTGCAGTCCTTGACCCTCTGCAGCAAGCGCTTCAGGTCCT